AGAGGAAGGAGATGATGGATACTGTAAAGCTTCATAAATACCATCTTTAACTAGAAAACAAATAAAAGAGGCATTTTAAGATCCCATCAGATAGTCAATAATAATCAGAGTTGAAAATGTGGAACAGTTGGATACATTGTTGTTTTATAAATTGCCCATCTCATTCATTGTCAACTCTGGTCATGAAAAGCAATTCAACTGATTTGATATCTAGCCCCACATGTGTTTTCCCCTTTTGTACCCTCTTATAGAAATGTGCTGACACATTTCTCCCAATGAAGACCAGATGCGTAGGAGGCAGCTGGGGGCAGAAGAAAGACAAAAAGCTAAATAGTCAAAGTGGGTAGTGAATCCCATATTCCCATATGCTTAAACATTGACATAACACCGTCGACAGTCTGCCTTTCGCTCGGTGACTGAGAAACTGTTGAGTAACGAAGACTTTCACACCTCACCCATAACACCATGAGAAGCTTCCTATGGTCTCTTAGTCCTCACCAGTGAGTTTCTGCTGATGAAAGTATTCACAAAAAAAACAGCTTAATTCTGGGCAGTTACCCCTGGTGTTAAATGTTGTGGTGCATGGCACTTCCCTGGGGGGAGTCCAGCTCTCCAGACATAACAGCCCAAGGAGATGTCTCTTCAGGTTACAGATCCCTGCTCTCGATGAGTGAGCTATATGGAAATGGAGATGATGTCTTATTCATGGGCTGGAAGGAGACATCTCTTGCCTGTTTCTTCAAGGATCTTGTGCTTTCTTCTTGGGGTTTTCTCACCTCCTTGTGGAGGTTCCTACTGGGACCGAACATGTTATTGAGCAGATTCATGAAGGAAGTGGGAAAAAAAGGAATGGGCTACCAGAGTTTGGATGTGAATGGCCCCAGAGGACCATATGTCAATCCTTATTACCTAGAAAGGTGGAGATAAAGAAAAAAGAAAAGAAAAGAGGATGAGGGGCTGGTTAGGAAGCAGAAGTTGATCAGTAGGAGTGAGGGGGACAAGACATTTTGAGGGTAAATGGAATCAAAGTAATTCTTTACAAGCATGAAAAGCTCCTAATTAAACTCACTATTGTGAGCTGGCATTGGTGGCGCACGCCTTTAATCCAAGCATTTGGGGGGCAAAGGCAGGTGGATCTCTGTGAGTTCGAGGCCAGCCTGGTCTCCAGAGTGAGTGCCAGGATAGGCTCCAAAGCTACACAGAAAAACCCTGTCTTGAAAAAAAAAAACCAAAAAAAAAAAACCCAACTCACTATTGTGTATAATTAATTAGTTCTAATAAAAACATTAACAGAAAGAATCTCCTATATCGGTCACCCCAACAACACATAAGCTCAGTGAAAAGCACTGTGCATTCTTGCAGTTTTGAGGAGTGTTGCCTCAGAGAAAGAGGTTCCATCTAATCCATGGGGGTGGGATTCCTTTTCTTAACCAACCTCTTCCAAAAACTGGGAGCTTGTGTGGCTGACTGCCTGGCTTTCACAGGTTTGAAATCAGCAATTTGAAACATTCCTATGAGAAGGGCAAGAGGCTGGCAGAGGGATAGGGATAGGTACCAAAGGTTGAGGATCACTGATTATCTGGAGGCTTCTTTGGAAATTTGTACTTCACCATGCAAAGTCATTATAGAAAGGAACTAGAAAATTATCCCACCACTGATGAAAATTTAACCATCTCCCTGTTTTAAACCCCCACAGGACTTCTCTCAATGTTTACATAACCCTGGATTGTTTTCCAATTGTATAACTTCAGATTTTTAAGCAAAACCCAAAATTACAGAATTTAGGCTGACCCAGACCTGCATGGTGCTTCACTTCTTTCACCAATTTGTTTAATGAGTGCCACCTTCACATCGACAGGGAAACCAAGGGGTTTACTCCAACATAATGGGCACTGGCAAGAGAGCAGAGGAGCAGAGTTTTAGCTCTCTATATTCAAGGTCTGAGGCAGAGCCTCAGGGGGCAGCTTATTCTGGATGTTTCAAAGCACTAATGAGTAGAAATTCCAGAGAAGTAGCTCCTACCTCGGGACAGGAGAGAATCTTCCAGAAGAACAAGATACCCTGAGCCTGTGAGCACCCCTTCATACACTGGGAGTGCTCTGGTCAAGGCTGCATGGATCAACAGGGATTAGGATGGGAATGTAGGTTGCCTCTTAACACTTATGTTTAGCTTCCTCCTGGGCTACAGGGTGTCCATAAGGGACAGGCAAGGGATGGGTGAGACTGTATTCCTGAGTCCTGGAATCATTGAAGACTGGTGTGATGGATAGCTTTATGTCAACTTGATACAAGCTAAAATCATCTGAGAGGAGGGAACCTCAATTAAGAAAATGCTTCCATAAGATTGGGCTGTATACAAGCCTGTATGGCATTTTCTTTCTTTTTTATTTAAGTATTTTTTTCATTTATTTTATGTTTATTTTACCCACAGCTTCAGTTTCCCCTCCCTGCTCTCATCCTGCTTCCCATCTACCCACCTCCCCATCCACTCCTCCTCCATCTCCATTCAGAAAGGGACAGGCAAATCAATATGGCAGTTTCTCAGAAAATTGGGATTCAGTCTACCTCAAGACCCAGCATTACCAATCTTAGGCATATAACCAAAGGATGCTCAATTATACCGCAAGGACACTTGCTCAACTATATCCATAGCACCATTATTCATAATAGTCAGAACCAGGAAACAACCTAGATGCCCTTCAACTAAAGGATGGATAAGGAAAATGTGGTATATTTACACAATGGAGTATTACTCACCTGTAAAAACACAAATGGCCTTATGAAATTTGCAGGGAAATGGATGGAAGTAGAAAAGAATCATTCTGAGTGAGGTAACCCCGATTCAGAAAGACAAACATGGTATGTACTCACTCATAAGTGGATATTAGGAGTAAAGTTTAGGATAACCAACCTACAATCCACAGTCCCAGAGAGGTTAGATAACAAGGAGGGACCAAAGAGGGATGCATGGATTTCCCTGGGAAGGGGCAATATTTGAGGACATTTTCTTAGTGATTGATGCGAAGGGCCCAGCCCATTGCAGGTGGTGCTATCTCTAGGCTGGTGGCCCTGGGCTCTATAAGAAAGCAGGCTGAGCAAGCCATGTTGACCAATCCAGTAAGTAGCACCCCTCCAAGGCCTTGACATCAGCTCCTGCCTCCAGATTCCTGCCCAGTTTGGGTTCCTGTCCTGGCTTTCCTCAATCATGGACTATGATGTGGAAGTGTAAGCCAAATAAACCCTTTTCCTTCCCAAGTTGCTTTGGTCATGGTGTTTCATCCCAGCAATAGAAGCCCTAACTAAGATGAGTGGGTTGTTACTTCTTCCTCAGCCTAGCCCCTTTTGCTCACTTCTTCTATCAAGCCACCTTTCCTCAGTTGTGTGGGCAAGCCTGAGTTCACCGCAGCTATTTAGACTTGATTATCACTTGGGCTGAGCATTCACAAGCAGTAATTTTACTCCATTCCGATTTTCTGTAGACTTCTCTCAAGTTGCAATGTGATCTTTGGTTATGTAACAGCATGCTGACATTCAAGGACAATTCCATACAGCCTCTTTCCAATATCCCTTATTACTCTACAGCTTTGTATAGGCTTTTACCTTGATGACTTTACTGTCATGTCGAGGATGTCACAGAGTGGGTGTGGGATCACGTGAGTACGTGGAAAGAAGACTCAGAGACAGTTTTAAGGATGAACTTAGCCTTTCACAACTGCAGGGTCTCCAGACTAGATAGGCTGAAGCTCTTTCCTTACACCTAGGGCATTTTTATTTTTCACAATAATTACACTGTAGCCAGTTGACTACCATATACTCAGAACAACTTAAATGAGGCTTCAAAAAAAAGAATGCCAGGTACCACAGTTTTCTGGGTTTCTGAACCAAGTTTTGCATAGGCTTTGTATCACTTGGGAACTCTCAGACAAGATTCACATAGGACAATGAAAGAAACAAAGGGTATCTTCTAAACAACAACAACAAAAAAAATGGATTAGGGCTAGGAGCTAATGCTCTGGAGCTAGGCTAGGTGTAGCCCACCAGGGATTAAAGCTAGTTGCTAACACTCTGGTACCAGGCCAGCAGGAATTCCTCCACACAGTCATCCTTTGGGTCTTTTTCAGTGTCCTGTGTCAGGATGCCCTGAGCCTTCTGCATTTTTCTAGTTTGCATCTTCTCCAGTCTTATGTGTTTTTATGTTCACAGGAATATTGTAGTAAATGTGAAAGGCATTAATGTGACACAGAAAAATCCAGGTCTCCTGACTGAATGGGTTTAGTAATTTGGGGAGTATATTAATCATCTAGTCTGTGCATCAGCTTTCTTGCTTGTAAAATGGAAAAGGGAATATGGGTATCAAATATTTATGAGGCTAAAATTCAACATTTAAGTCCTAGTATGCTTACTGCCTTGCCTATGGTAGACACTGAATAATTTAGAGAAAAAGAAAAAGAAAGAGAGAGTTCCCATGAGAGGGGGGGGAGGGAGAAAATTCACACACACACACACACACACACACACACACACACACACACACACACACATACACACACACACCTCAGAGCATCACACATACTAACAATGCTTGACCACTGAGCTATACTCCCGACCTTTTAACACTTTATGTGTTAGCCCTTTGATAGCCCACGATATCCTCGAATTTGCTGTTCTTCTACTTTAACTTCTGGAGTAACTGGGATTATAGGTGTGCCCACCACAACCCACTGTAATAAGTTTTTTTGAGAAAGACTTACTGAAATGAACCATGACATTTTAAAAGAAATGCTTCTTGATTATCCTCGTAAGTTTCCAATTTGAGTGATTTTGTTCAAATTCTCTTAAATTGATCTTATCTTCTGTTTCACACACATTGACTCACATGTTATTAAGCATAAACTAAACACCCCCTTGTGTTTTTACAAATATAAGTGAATAATGTTTTTATATAGAATATACATTAGATTTACATAATTTGGTTACTATGTCTTCTGTTTAATGTTCAGACAGTCTAGGTAACTCTGAGAAGGAAGAGCTACAGCGAGAGAAGTGGGAGAGGAAAAACTGGCCAAGGAGAAGCCTCTCCCGGCGCTCCATAAGCAAGGACAGATGGGTGGAGACACTGGTGGTGGCTGACACGAAGATGGTTGAGTACCATGGAAGTGAGAACATTGAGTCCTACATCCTCACCATCATGAATATGGTATGACAGACTGCATGGGGGACAGTACCTGACAAGAGAGATGTCCTTAAAAATGCTCTTCCCCTCATCAAAGGACATTTTTGTCAGGCATGGTGATACCAATCTTCCATCCCTAAATCTGGCAGGCCATGGTTGGGGGATTGCAAGTCTGAGGGTACCTTAGTCTAGGTAGTGATGTACTGTCTCAAAATGATAAAAACAAAAAATAAGAAGAAAGAGATTTTGTTGTTGTTTCTTATAATACACAATATACACATGCACGCTCATATACATACACATACATACACATGCATGCACTCACCCAAGTCTATTATTCGTCCAAGTATTTAATAATTGAAATTCAGGACAATTATCTGTTCCTTAAAAATGTGCATGGGAAAATTTCCTGGGAAAAATTACAATTCATCATTTGCATATACATAGTCACTATTATTATTATTTACCAAGTGACTTGATATTTTTAGAATGGCTTTGCACCGTCCATTTCTGCTAGTCTTAGTGTATGAGAAAACTTGGGCAAAGAAACTAAACATGATCTCCTCAAGGTAGTGAGAGCTAGAACCAGAACAAGTTTCCACTGCAGCCCCAAGTTTCACTGTTGTTGTGCTTTACTTTTCAGACAGGTGGCTTGTCCTGCTGAGATGGGAAAGAGCAATTCCTTGATTAACTGAAAAAGAAAGACCCTGGGCTTGACAAAGTCAAAGAAAAAAAGGGCTTTGTTTAGGGAACCATGCTGCTAGGATTGTGGGTGTAGTTTCCCTGTCATACTTAGAAGACACAATCTCAGAGTAGAGTTCCTGGTCCTCTGGTTTCTAATCTTACCACCTTCATTGCCAGGATATTCCCCAAGTCTTGGGTACAGGGTCCGTGCTGTATGTACATTTACCAAGTAGGGATGAACAACCCAGGACCAGGTGTTCTCTGCATTTTGGCTAGTGGCTTCCTGTAATAATCTGCTGCAAAAAGAAGCTTCTTCGATGGGGGTTGAGAGCTGTACTTCTCTGTGGGCATAAAGATAAGCAGATAGTATAAAGTAGAAATCATAACTGGTTTAGAAAAGTGGCAATAATAGGATCTCATCTAAGATCCATGGCCTCACTAGCCACTTGTGATTGGGGAAGTTTAAAGTACCAGTCATGAAGAGCCATAGACAGGTAACAGTTGCTGAAAAAGAGAAAATTAATCTTCCCCAGAGATAAGACACCCACCTTGGCTATCCAACGCCAATGATCATTCTTAGAAATATATATGTGCAGAGAACACTAAATGGCTTTTCCTTTCTGACGCCAGGTCACTGGGTTGTTTCATAACCCAAGCATTGGCAACGCAGTCCACATTGTCGTGGTTCGACTCATTCTTCTTGAAGAGGAGGAGGTAAGGAATGGTTTCCCACCACTCTCCTTTTCTGTACCTTCCCATTTCCACTCTCTCTTTTAGGGCAGTTCTTGATAAGCAAGAAAGAGGTCTCTACACAGTCTTTATGCAATCCAAAGGGAAGGAAAATAATATTTCTGTGTTATTTTCTTGGGACTTGAGCAATATTGAGTGGGAAATGGGAAGAGTTTCAAAAATATTTAAGTTCTCCTCATCTGTGGTGTTAGTTATCATTACAACCAATGGGTTTTTTCTTGTTTTCTTTTCTTCTCTGTTTTATAATTTAATATGTAATTATATTATTTCTCCCCTCCTCATCTCTCTTCCCTCCTGCCCCTTCCTTGTCTGACTTCCTACCCTCAAATTCAGAATCTCCTTTTCTTGAACTGTCGTTGTTATATGTACATACAAAAAACTCATAGAAACCTGTGTGTCTGCCTCATGAGTATGTGTGCTATCATATCTGACCTCATTGTTTATTTATTTATTTTTATTGTGTTATCTAAATCCAACAACAAAGCCCATAGTGGTCCCATCTCCAAAGCATGTTTCAAAAATATCCAGTGCTCACCATTTTGCAATCATTACATTGATTCAAGTTTTACTATATCTTTCCCTAACTACTACAGTGAATTCTCAAATTGTTTTCCTATTTCCAACTTTGCACATAATATATACTTTTGGAGGATCATTTTATATATAGCTATAATGGATGATTTTAAATACAAGTTCAAATAATTACTTCAATGCTCCCCCATGACTTCATTAAAAAAAAAACACATCAATTGAGATTTGCTTTGTCTGCAGAGCTCTTCATGGTCTTGATCCATCTGTCTTTTCCCCATTTTTTTCTTATGTTATTCAGTCCCTTGTTTCCAACCATTGCACTCTGGAGTTTGAATGAGTTCTACAATACTCAAGGCATTTTTCAGCATCATAATCTTTGTACTTATGGATCCCAGTATCTCAAAAATGCCTTCCTTGGTTCTCATCAAGTAAGCCTTTGCTTAACTACTGACTCTTCAAAGAATTCTCAATGTCCAGCCTACTCAAATGTTACCCCTCTTCCTATTTCTGTTTCCAGGAATGATAGCACTCCCGCTACTCACTATGGTTCTTCGTAGTTATTCACTCTTTTGTGTATCTCAAGCATTAGAGACAATGTGCATGCAGACATGGTGTTTGTTTATTCTATGACATCCCTAATACCCAACATGGTGAATGGACCATGAATAAATGTACAAGGTGAAATTTATTAAGTGAAGGAAACAGCCAAGCTGATGAAATGCCGTTAAGACTATACAGCAGCTGAAACACATAAGAAGGGAACTATTCACATCTTCTCCAGCAAGAGATATGGCACCAAATGCCAGACAAGGCTATTATTTTCTTAACAGCACAAGTTTCCACCACACGTTAGAATTATATTTTAAAAACTATCTTTTAAGCCTTGATTCCTTTCCCCTTTTTTCCCTGCCAGCTCCGTTTCTCTTCATTAGTTGGGGCATGTTTTTGGCATCATGGAATTCCAGTTGACATAATATTCCTTTTTCTGTCATCCCTTTGATAATAAAATTTATTCAAAACTTGAAAAGCAGGCAAAAATGCCTACTAGTGTCCATATAACCTTTGGTGAATAGAACTTTGGTTGTTACAGGCTATTGATGAGAATTTGGATGTGGTGAAGTTAGATGCTGGTTTGCAGAAAAGCTATGGGATGAACAAATAGTTTCTGTCCAGAAGAGATAAAGTAGATATGTGTCCAGCAAAGATAACCTTAAGCATATTAAGCTTGTGTTGGCCTGTGTGGCATTAACTGACCTTGTACCTAATTTAACAATCTCACTCTAATATGTTTCCCACTGGCTGGGACTGCATTAATTTGCTTTCTGGAATCTATCTTTATACCAGTTTTGCCATCTTGCTCGTCTCTTCATCAGCAAGTTAAATGAATCTTTCACATATGCTAACTGTATATTCAGAGAAGAATTATATTTAACTAGACACAGTAGCTCATGCCTTCAATCCTAGCACTTGTGGATCTGAAGAAGAAGACTTGAAATGGTTTCAAGGCCTAGGCTAAGTAGTTAAATATTGTGTCAACAAACAAACAAACAAAAAATTCTGCTTTTTAACTTTTTGAAAATTATGGTTTGATATTTTGGAGTACCAATTTTTACTCCTTCACAGTGGTTGAATATGTTTGCATACTTGGATACAGTTATGCAGAGTTCAATACAAGGAAGATTTATCTAGATGTGTGAAGGGAAATTTTACCTTCCATAGTGCCAGCAGAACTGCAGGCAGGCTTTAAAATGTGACATCAAGGATCAAGGATCCAGGATACAGGCAGGAAAGAGTGCCATCAGAGCACCTGAATGCTGGCTTCTTGCTGCCAGTGACATTTTTCATGAGAATCATATTGGCCATTACTTCATGACATTGGTTACAATTACATTGTTTTTCCTCTTTCTATTTCTGATTTTTGTTTGTTTGTTTTTTGAGACAGGGTTTCTCTGTGTAGCTTTGGAGCCTATCCTGGCACTCACTCTGGAGACCAGGCTGGCCTCAAACTCACAGAGATCCACCTGCCTCTGCCTCCCAAGTGCTGGGATTAAAAGTGTGTGCCACCAACGTCGGGCTTTATTTTTGATTTTGTAAGTGCACAACAAATACTTTGTTGCAGACAGCATGGCCCTCTACTCTTGTCATTGCCAAATGAAAGCTTTTTTTGTTGGTGGTGTTAATTTAATTATTTTAATACAATACATTTGATCATATGCATTCCACTCCCTCAACTCCTCCCAGATCATCTCTGTGTTCTCTTTCTCTCTCTTTCTCTCTTTCTTTCTCTCTCTCTAAAAAGAAGAAAAACAACAAAAACCAAATGGCAAAAGTTGGAAATCAAAGCAAATGTACTAAAAAGAAAGAAAACCAAGAATGCAAAAAAAAAAAAAAAACAAAACAGAACAGAATGAAAAGCGCACACACACAACCACACACACACACACAAACCACCACACACCCATTTTGTTTTGGCCAACTGCTTCTTGCCCTGGGATCTGCACTGGAGTATGGCTGGTATATCCAGTGACACTCCATTGAGGAAACTGAGTGTCCTTTCCCCTGTATGTATCAATTGCAATTAGCTTCTTGCTTAGGTATGAAACTTGCTTAGGTATGCCAACTTCCCCTTCTCCCTGCTAAGATTTTGTCTGGTTTGAACCTGTGAAGGTCTTGTGTATACTGCCATCATCTCTGTGAGTTCATACATATATCAGTTCTGTGGTGTCTGGAAGATACTGGAGTCATCCACCATCTTCCACATAGATGTGTTTGCATCTAGAGGAGGGGGTTGATGCAGACATTTCCTTTAGGACTGATTGCTCTAACATCTATTATTCTATGTACATTGTCCAGTTATGGATCTGTTTGTTACTTACAGTCTATCACAAGAAACTTCTCTGATGAGAGTTGCATGATGCTGGTGCAAGATTTTATAAAATCTCTAAGTGTTGCTAAGTTCAAAAGTTGACAACAAATTTCAATTCAATATTCTCATTTTTCCTGATTCTCAGAAAATAGTTCAAACTATTCTTTGACTAACAAGCAACATAAACTGCATTGACAATCATGAATTTCAATATCTACCAAAAATCAGTGTGACAGGCACACACGGGAGAAAGTACAAAGTGACTGGGCTATGGTATCCTTCATTTCACAGCCCTTAAAGTGTTACATCATTTTTCCATGTCCCATCAGCCATATGACACATGCTGTGTTAGTCACTGAAGAGATAAATATAAATATAATTCCCGTTTCCTGAGTCTGAGGAATTTGGAGTCTCCTGTCAAAGGTACAAAAATAAAAAAAATGAAATTGAAATGAGCATAAGGTTAAATATATGTTATCGGTGGAGTGGAAGGATATTTGGGTATCTAAATTGGGTTTTAGAGAGCACAAAGGAATTAGCCATATGAAAGAAACCAGGTAATCACTTCCTCTAGTGTTTAACCTGTTACTGTACATATGAGAGCAATTAACACATCACTGATACTGGACCACAAACAGAAAAGATTAAGCATCTTACTACAGTGCAAAACAAACCATAATATTGAATGCGAGAAGGCTGGTGCCAAATGAGAATCTGCCCATAGGAGACCTCTAGCCTCTACAATAATACAGACACACATGAACACACATGTACATACACATGACAGAGAAAGGATAGAGCTGATGGACAGGAAAGACATGACTACTTTCCTGGAGGATTTTTTCTTGATCTACTGAATGACTTAGTGTTGGGCTCATTGTGGCACAAACAGCCTGTTGACTTTTGGAAATTTGAGTTGGTGGTTGTATGGATTTATAATAACCTACATAGCTGTTTTCTTTATGGTAAATATCAATGGTATTGACAATTAATTTTAGACCTATTTCTTTAGATCAGTAGTTTTCCTCTGATAGTAACATGATTTATTTCTTAGTCAAGTGAAGTTTTATTTTACTTTTTTTCCCACTGGCCTCTTCTTCATCTGTTGTCAGTTTGCTCAGTCTAAGTATCATTAGCAGAGTGGTGAGACTGCTGCACATCAAGAGCTGCTACCAAGAATTCCTAGGGAGATTAATACAAGACTGGTTCTTCATTAGAGGATAGCTCAGAGAGGAAGAGAACAGATGGTAACAGAAGCCATGTTCTTGCAAAATCGTTCCCCATCTCCCACTTGGAGCCTTTTTTTGTAAGCTGTGGCTGATTTCTTCCAGGTTCCCATCTCCCACTTGGAGCCTTTTTTTTGTAAGCTGTGGCTGATTTCTTCCAGGTCAGATAGCCCTCCTCTGAGGTTCATGTACTCAAGGGTATAGGAAGAGGAAGGTGGGAAGTGAATTGAGCTAGCTTGAGAAGATGAGGTACAAAGAAATGAGCAAAAGCAAATCTATTTTTGTTTGCAAAGGAAATAAGGAACAAGATTGTGAGTGAATGTTTGCTTTAATTTGCTCAA